GAGAGGTCCAGAGGTAGAATTTAGCCCTGAGTGAGGTCAATAAAGATGTTCCAACAGGACTGCACTAGTTTACATGGATGGCCCAGCTTATAAACAAATCAGCTTTATTTCTTCCAAACGTTTTCTAAGACAGGCCAGGGGGGTGTATTTTTGGACCATAATACTTAAAAATGAAGACACACATAGCTGAGGTGTAACCTTGTCACTTATTAGTAAAACATGAGTCAGAGTAATGTAGTCTAAGGGGGCCAGATGGAGCAGAATGAAGTGTAGAAAAAGTCTAAAAACTGAAAAGCCTTAAAAACAAACAAACAAAAAAAAGATTCAGGGAAAAAAAACCCAGGGGTGGGGGTGGTGGTATCAGATTTGGGAGTCTTGGAAAACTCACTTTCCTGGACTGCTCTTGATTAGATTTCTTGGGTAATTAAATCAGAGTGGACAGGTGTGTGAGAAGATTTCTTTTTATTGTGGACATCTCCCTATTATTCTGTAAGGTAATGCCACCTTTCTTCCTGAAAAACTTCAATGAGGAAACTGGCGGGGGGGGGGGGGGGGGGAGATCCCCAAAGTAAGTTTCTCGAAGGAGAAATGAAATTCAGGCTCCTGGGTTCTTAAATTTTTCTCTTACCAGGTCCATGTGGTTTTGAAGTTAACATGACATTGATGTTTCAGACACAGAACTTAGGACCAGGAGCAAACAATAGGAAGCTGCTCTGAGACTGGCACTGATGGGTCAAAACCCCACTTGTCACACTTGTGACAAACAGCATCTGTATTTGCATTATTATGTCGTGCCCTCCAATGACCGTGAATCATCTTCTGCAACGATATAACAAAAAAAGCTAGAAATGACAGTTTCCAAGTCTTGTGTGCTTCATGGCATGAAGTGGAAGACTCATTTTTCAGATTTCCTCTTGATTTATAGAGATAGGTTCAGAAAAGGCAAAGGTCAAGCCAAATTAACAATTACTCATCATTAATAACTGTAATTTTACACATACATGTATTTCCTAGTTAAATCTCATCCAGAATCCTAGACTGGATTATAGGATGGAAGAAGTTATATAAGAATGTCTCATCTCTGCTGCCTAAGGATTTTATCAATAGTCTTTTAACTGTTTTACAGGCTACCTTTTCTCCAAAGTTGACTCTAATAATACAGTTCAAATCTAAATTCTCATTAACTGGCATCAAGAAGCTGTTTCGCAAGGAAGGGAGTGAGGGTCATTTTAAATTGTTCACACTGAACCAATATGATTCTCTTTAACAATGAAGACTTTGGGGGTGGATTCCTAAGATAGCACCTATTTTCTGATATCTACTGATTAAGAAAAATGATTGTATTATTCATGATTCTATTTTATTGACCATAGAAATATCTATATATATAAAAGATAATCAGTAGTAGAATACCAGGCATATTATTTTGGTACAGCTAGTGCTCAGTTTTGGGGTCTTTTTGGCCATACTGCATGGCCTGTGGAATCTTAAGTTCCCTCACCTGGGAATGAACTTGTGCCCCCTGCAGTGGAAAGCACAGAGTCTGAACCACTGAACCTACACGGAAGACTCTAGAGCTTAGTTTTCATATGGGAACAACCAACAGTAGAAATTGAGAGCTGTAGGGCTAGATTTGGGTTTAAAGTCTAGCTCACCTCTTAGCTGTGTGGCCTCAAGTCACTTGTAAAATTTGGATATCCTCGATTTCCATGTAAAGACCTTGCAGAATCAGAAGTGTGTGGAAGTCATCTAAGATACTGCATGGCAGAACAGGTGGCACATAAATGAGTGTTACAACTGTGTCCTCACGTTTTGCCTGAAATCCAACCCTAGTCTCTCCTGAATGCTTCATACAAGAATTGTTTTCTAAAATGTTAAGTTTGTGATTAAGCTGACGGGCCCTGAAAGGCTTAGTGTGGTTTAACTTATAATTTCTCTACTTTACGATAGTGGAAGTGATATGCATTCAGTAAAACTCATACTTTTGAATTTTTATCTTTACCTGGGCCAATGACATTCGATGCTCACTACTGGGACGTAACCATCTCATAAATGGGTGAAAACCTGCAGGATATACAGATATCTATTAAGCTAATTAGTTAGCTTACCTACGTTACCTGCAATTACCAATCACTTAGCAGACTGTGTGGGTGCTTGGTCCCTTAAATTAACACAGCAGAAATCACAATCTTCCATCTCAGGTTTTCAGGAATCGACCAGGATCTGTCAAATACCTGCCAAACACTCAGCATCAGGAACAGTGAATTATTAGGACAGAAGATTAAACATTAGACTCAAACACTAGCAACAAGAATGGGACTTTTCTATTTGTAATCCTCAATTCATATGACAGTGAAATAACTACACCCTAAAGAACGATGTCTCATCGGTAATGTTAGAAAGCTATCAGTGTGTTTCAAAGGTTAATTGTAAAAATGGCTTATTTACCTTGTTTTATTAACAGTCACTAGAACTTCAATCTCAATGCTTAATTTCCCCCAACAGTTTAGCTATTTCCAAGAAAAACAACCATTTGAAGACTGGCATTATAGATAACAAATATTATTACCTTGAACTGGTTTCTCTTTATCAGATGGGTTCAGTAAAAACCTGTCTACCTTGTTGCCATATCACATCTGTTAATACAGCAAAAGTCTTGGTTTGTGCCTCTGGTGATTATCAAATGAGCAACACACATCAAGGAAAGAGCAACAGCAGCAAAAATCCTGAAGAACTGCAGAACTCTCTCCAGTTACACTAAACTCAATATTAGCACAGATACAGGTGGCTTTTATGCTTCCCAATTCTTTTCTTCCAGAACACCTGAGAACTACAGAACCAAAATTTCTACTAAAAAAAGAAATTAAAAAAAAAAATAACTGTAGTCAGGGCAAGAAAAGGAAAACAGTATCTTTATTGTGTGTAGTTCTAAACAAACATTCACTGTGTGCACATTCCAGCAGACAAAGATCTTTGTTCAAAATATGCTGAAATAAAATAGGTAAACAAACTCCATTTATTGAATACACAAAAGGAATGTTAATATCACTTGCTCAGAGTGGAGGGTAAAATCAAAAGAAAGAAAGTGAAATCATCATGCTTTGCCTAAACAGCAAATGGAGAATATAGGTGCAGGTGCAAATTGGCCCCTCAAGTTCATGAGTGAGAAGCTGGGTGTGGAGTAGGTAACCTGAAAAATACCTCTGCTTCTTGGAACCTCCCCTCTGAGATAACCCCCAACAAATTACAAACCCAGCTCTCCCAGAGCACAATCGCCAGATGGGACTAAACTCCTCATTACTTTCATGATATTTGGCAAAAGAACAAAATGGTTGAAAAAAAGAAAAAAAAACAACAGTCTCTGTTGACACAAGGCACATCTGAATCCATTTCTCCTGGGGAAGGAAGTAACCAACATTACTGTTCTATGTTTCTAAAATGGAATTTAATCAGATGGGTATCACTTGAGATTTTAAACATGAGATACTCTGTAAGTAATGATACATCTGGCCTGAAAAGCATTTTTCATTGCTCCACATGGGAACTGAGTGAGTGTAAACACAATGATATTCTTATTTCACAACATGTGCATCTACGACAACTGCTGAAAGAACTTTACAGGGTCAAATTACAGGTTCCAATGGATTTTTGTTGCAGCTTAAGTGGTCACATGAGAACTAAACACAGTATAAACTCTGTCCCCACTACTTTCCTGTCTTTACAAAACGTTTGGAAACCAAAACCAACTCCTGAGAGCAGAGGCAGGAAATCTTGGGACCCGGCACTAACATCCTTATTTGGGGGCACTAATTTCCCCTCATCTCCTCTCCTGTGATTTCCAGCCATTATGTTGACAGTATGGTGGGCGCCGGCGGTTAAGTCTTCCTTGGGAATAAACAACCCAACACTCCAGAGACACCCCAGGAGGCTCCGGACAACAGGGACTGGCTCCACTGGCTCTGCAGAGGGGTTTTTCACAACCCATCCATATCGAGGCTGTTTCGAGAATTCCCATCTATGTCTTAAAACAAAAGTCCTTTTTGATAGATTTGGCTAATATACTGTATTACATTATTGTTTAAAAAAAAAAAAACACCTCTGCAGGCTCTCACACAAGCTCTACCGTTCACCTGGCTGTTTATGTAGGCAGCAGAATAACAATAAGTGGACCCAAAAGTGGTTTTTATAACACAAAGTGACATCACATTAGCAGATCAAAAGAGAGCCCTGGGTATTGGATGGATTTCATGGCTGGCAGAGACAAAGTCTGAAAATCTTTTCCTCTGGCTCTGAATAAAAACAAGTCCAGATGTAAACAGGAAATGACAACCAATATGAAACAGAAAAACATACCTTTTGCAGTGGTCTTTACCTTAAAAAATACCAAAAAACACAAATTTTACTTAAGAATATTGTTCTTTAACATTTCTTCTAAGCCAGATGTTTTCCATTCAATTTGGGGGACTGCCAACACATTTTTAATTAATCCAAGTTATCTTCTAGCTTAGTCTTAGCGCGAATGTTCCCTTTTCCAGCTCCTCAATACTCCTTTGTTCTTCATTTCTACCCCAGTGTGGGCCCATCTCATCAGGTGACTTAAATGATTACAGCAATTAAGTATCAATTCTTATTCAAGGCAACCCTTCTTTGCCTTCAAATTGAGGAGTAATCAAGTCACAACCACCTCTGTTACATAATCATCAAAGATTTTTCTTTCAGTAAATTGTCTTAAAGTGGCATCTTATAATGCATACAAAATACTTTCTAAAGATAAAAATTTTAAAGTTAACCCACATCCCTGACATATAAAAGCTGGCCAGAAATCCCCTAAAATTACTCCATAATGTCATAATCAAGTGCACAATTACCAGGTTAATGTTATTTTTATGAATTCTGAATTTGCTCAACGTCTGAATCACAGGATACAAGACCTGGGTTGAACTTTTTCGTAAGGAGTTTGCATGGGCAGACACAGGTTTGCTGTGTAGTGTCCTGTCCTGTCAGTCTCTGGCAAGCAGGCAGAGGGGAGGAGATGCCGGGCAGTGACCATGGTCCTTCCCGAACCACGCGGCGCCCTGCTGTACGTGACAATGGCGCAGAGCACGCTGGTCATCCTCAAAGGATACGGAGGAAGAATCACCACAGCTGTCAGCAGAAAACTGCCAGTGGACGGTCTCCTCAGGTGCTTCCACAGAGAGGAAGAAAGCAGTCAAATACGCCAGAGAAACGCCTGAACTGAGGAGAAATAGTAATATAATTCTGAATAATAACCTACTCCTCACGGAAACAGTTATCCAAGGGAAAAAAAAGTAACTACCAGTTTTTTTTCCCCCTCTCAATGGAAAAACAACAAAACCACAAATTGGAGCCATGGAGGTAAAATAAGATGAAGTGGAAAACACTCTTGCCCCGCTCTCCTGCTTCCAAATGCCGCTTTACCATGGGAGTTACTTTACTGGGGCAAACAGAAGATCAAATACTGTATCTTTGATCAATTTGGAGTCTCTTACTTCTATAAAATGGTAAATAAAAAATTGCCAATTGATTAAAAAAACAGCAAAATCCTTTACAAAACTGTAAAGCCCTAAAGATATACTTACTTGCATTTTACCAATAAAAGATGGTAACTTTAAAAGAAAAAAGATGGTTAGGAACTGGTGCCAAATCAAAATAAAGGATGAAGTTTTAGTGGTTCTGAACTCTTGCCCTTAAAGTTGTGTTTTTCAATATTTTTCAAAAGAAAGATTACTATGAATTCACTCTATCATCCTAATTCATCTCTCCCTCTCCCTGTTTCTCTCCACTCCCAATGAACAAAAGGGAAGCAGAGTTCTGCCCAGCACCACCATCTGATGCCTTAGAGGGTGGCAAGGGCTCCTTGCTACACTTGGTCAGTTTTAACAATTACAAACAAGGAAAAGGATAATTTTGCAGTTGTGTTTTAAGTCACAGATGTGCAACCTGTCATGAATTAAAACCTCTTATGATAAATAATAAAATTAAGTCATAATTTAAAAAATAGGAACATTTACTTGAAAAGGGGAAAAAGAAATGCTTCCAAACCAGAATGTGACACGCTGTTAAATATGTCTAACGTGCGTTCGAAGTACTGGAAAGCAGGCAATTTTACCAAAGGGAATGCCACAATGACATGTGGACTGTAATCATAGAAGACAGTTCTGAAACATAAAGGCGCTCATGAAAAAGAGTAAAGAGAGGAAACAAAGGCAAGGATACAGAAAAATGAGCAGGTGCTTTGAGAGTAAGGCTCTTGAGAAATGACTTGGACACGGCTGTGGAGCTGAGGTGGATGTCTGGCCAACCATCTGGGTTCCAAGGGGTAAGAATACAAATGGCAGGATTCAAGAAGAGGGCACCGCTGCAGGCTCCAAGTAAGTCTAGTTCTTGCTCCCAAGTGGAAATGCTTTCCAGACTTCAACAAGGTCTCCTCAGGAGGACTTGTTCTCCGCCATGTAGTAACGATATAGAAAACCTAAGAGAATAGCACCCACGATGGGGAAGATCCAATACGACCAGTAGCTAGATGTTCAAGGGGGAAAAAACCAATAAAATTGTGAACATTTCATACCAAACGTTCCCTATCATTCAACATTCATATTTTAATACTAAAGTATTTAAATACTTTCACATTTAATATTCTCCAAATTAAAGAATTTTGATTTGGAGAAATAAAAAAAAAACCAACAAAGATTTTAATTAAAGTGAGTTCAACAATAATTTTAAAAGGACTAAAAATGGAACATATAGCATGATACAAAAAAAAGATAATACACACACACACCTCAATATGTGTTTTCACAAAGACATAAATGGTTATTTCTGGTTTATGGGATTACAGATAGTCTAAATTTTTCTTCAAGACTTTTCACATATTCAACAATTAACATCCTTAAACAGGAAAAGGCCACCATTTTATGTATATAATTATCAGTGTAGAACCAATGATACCTAATACAATTGCTGATGATATTGTATCTGCCCCAAATTATTTTTAAAATTTAATCCTCACAACAATCCTATGAAATGAGTACTATTATTATTCTCATTTTACACATAGAAAACACAAGCTCTGCACCCAAAATCATAAAGGGAAGTTAGTCAAGCAGCTTGATTCCTATCCTTGTTTGGATACTAATAAGGACACATACACAAACACACATAGACCAAACTGATAGTGCTAATAAAATTAGGCAAATGGTTTAAGAAGGCTGGCTTAAGAAGCCCTACAAAGAAACTTTCCTCAGTTTCAGGACAGTCATTATTCTCCTCAAAATAAAGAGTTCCCTGGTGGCCTAGGGGTTAAGACGACTCACTTTCACTGCAGTGGCCCTGGGTTCAATCACTGGCTGGGGAACTAAGATCCTGCAAGTCACATGGGACAGTCAAAAAAAAAAAAGAAAAAAAAATCCTTCTTCTCTATTAGAACTTATTAACACTGCTAGTTTTAATCCAAATGACCTGGCTGCCCCTCCACTTAAGACATATGCAGTCTTAGTACTAAAAGGCTTTGAAGTCCACAAAAACCAGCTGTGGTTCAATAATAAAAATGATTCTTTTTGCCTGAACACGCCAAGCACTTTGTACATTAAATTATGGCAGAAAGCTGTTCTGGACAAGTTTAGAATGTCAGCCAGGTAGCTTTGCTTAAAGACACAAGCAAGTTGGTCAGTATGTACAACAGCTATATGGCACAGGGAAACATAAAAGTAATCTCCCCAAAAGAGGAATGATTTCAGGCACCTTCCAGGGCAGCCCAAGAGGCAAAAGAGATCAAAAGCAGGACCCTTGACAAAACACAAAAGATAAAGCCTTCAGTGCAAAAGACTAAGGATGGTGGACCATCAGTCCTCAGATGACCCTTTGTCACTTTGACCACGGGGAAGAGAAGCAGAGGAAATGCACCTATGCTGCAGCAGAGACACAGGTTCAGCAACAGCCTCCTGCCCGAAGACAGAGCTCGATCCACTCAGATTGATCCAGCTTATTGCCTGTAGCTGTGACTGTTCTTTTTATTGGTTTGTAGTATTCCACTGTGTGAATATCCCAGAATGAATTCATTCATCTTACTACTGAATGGTTATTTGGGTTGTTTCCAATATTTTAATATCTTGAGTAATGTTGCTAAGAGCATTCCTGTAATGTGTTCACTGGTATATATGTATACACATTTTTCTTGAGTGTATATATACATATATATATCCCTAGAAATGGAATTGCTGGATCAAAAGTTACTATATCATCAAATTTACTTGATAATGCATAAACTGTTTTCCACAGTGACTGTACCCATTTACATTTCCTCAAGATCCTAACAGGGCCTAAGAATATTGGTAATTCACTCCTAAATAACTCCTCTTATTTTTAGAATTTTTAATTTTGGCCAATCTGATAGGTGTGAAATATACCCTATGATTTTAATTTGCATCTCTCTGATGACAAATGAAATCAAACCTTTTTTTTACTATGCTCATATTTGTGCTTCCTCTTCTATAAGGTGCTTAAATCTTTTTCTCATATTCTACAAAGTTATTTTTTAATTGATTTGTAAAAATTCTTTATGTATTCCACAGAATAATTCTTAATCAATTTTTAGTGTTGTAGAAGTCTACAGCAAGTTTATGGCCTGTATTTTCAAATTCTTTATGGGACTTTGGGCTGAGTATATAAATCAGCTGAATTTACTAACAGTTTCCTTTAATTTCCACTTTTTAAAAATATTCTATCATCTCAAACAAAAAAGACACGTTAGTTTATAAGGGTGGGGTGGGGGAAGACATATTTTCTCTATGAAATGCCTTAAGTGCGATCTCAGAAAGATGAAACAGCTCTATATAATCTCTATACATTTTTACAAGCCAAGGATTCTACAATTATCTTAAGTAGAGACACTATTTAAGGATGCCAAATGTATACTTTTCAGGGCTACTACTACTGTATTAGCAACATTACTGCAAGGGATATAAGGTAAACCTTTGAGAAAACTCAAACTCCTGAATATGACTGCAATACACAATTTTTTTCTTTTGTAAAATGTAATAACAGCACCCACATTATAGGTGTGTTGTGAGGATTAAAAGAGAATAAGTTTTTAGTGGAAACTGCATAGCTGGGCTGAGCTGCAGAGACTGTGGGTCTGACTTAGGAGTAATACTTGTCCATGCACTCTTGCCTCTTACTACATATAACTTTGATTTATGTCACAACGAGATTTAAAAGTTACTCAAGGCAAGAACTTTTTTGAGATTATTCAAGATTACTGAAACTGGAAAAATTAATTTTGCTAAAGCTAAGAGACTACTGATTTGCAATAATTTTGACCAAAAAAAGAGAATGAGCTGTCAAACTATACTCTTAAGTTATGTCACACATGTATACTTATGGAAGGAACCTCTTTGCCACACAGTATTTTGGAGCATAAGAAAGTCTATTAAGGAGATACCAACCTTTTGCATGTATTGCTTTTCGGAGGTTCCTGAAGAAGACGCATATTTAAAAACAAACAAAACAAAAAAAGATTAACACAGAGTATATAAAACTTCTCATGAATATTCATGTAAACTATGAAACTAAATAACAACTTCATCTTTCATGTAATTTGATGTTTGCAAGTACCCATATGTATAGGAAGATGTGCAATTCTTTTTCTGATAATATACTGACATTCTCTAGTAAAGAACCACTATGAAAGCACACAGAAATGACCTGAACTCTTTTTATTTATTGGAAAAAAAATGCCATTGATACAAACTATATTACAATAAACTAATGAACTCATTTGAAGTCACAATGATATGCCTAGTTTAGCTGGGCTTGCCAGTGACAGTAGTTAAAATCACATTTCCTGAAACTTATTTAAAAAATAAAAACTCCTCTCTTGTAACATAGAGATCAATTCAGAAATGCTCAAAAGCATGCAGATGACTGCTCTGTGACTTAGAGAAGCAAACTGGTTTACTCTCTGAAATCATAATAATTAAGATTAGAGATCTTAGGGCTTATTTCATACTGAAAACAGGAAAAATGGGGTTAAGGTTAAGAAAATACCAAAATAAAATTTTTTTTAAATGTGGCAGTAACTAATCAAGAGGTACTGATACATCAGTGACACTGATGAACCCTGAAAATGTTACTTGACAAAACCAGACAAAAAGACCATGTATTACATAAGATTATTTACATGAAATGTTCAGAACAGGCAACCAAGAGGCAAGAAAGTAGATCAGTGGTTTCCTAGGGCAGGGAGAAGAGGATCTGGAGGGACACGGAAAATGACTGCTGAAGGTTATGGGGCTTCTTTTTAGAGTGATGAAAATGCTCAAAAACTGATTTCTGATTATGGTTGCACAACTCTAAATATACTAAAAACCCTTGACCTGTACCTCTTAAATAGGTGAACTGGATGAAACGTGAATTACATCTTAATAAAGCTGATCCCAAAATTTTAAATTCAATTTATGTAAACATCAAATGAACTTATGGATTTCATTAATTAGTTGTAGAGTACAAAAAAGCACGCTAACTTACCGCCAGAGGACAGTAACCCATTAGCACGGGTTACTGCTGCCCGAAAGATCATCTCTGCCAATAGTCAGCAGTATGCCAGGGTGTGAACACATAATTACAGTTCTCAGTAACCTCCAAGAATTCCAACAACCCTACATACATACTGGCCTAGATACTTTAGAGCAGACCATGAGGTGAGTTTTAGCTTCCTATATTCAGAACATTGTAATGCAAATGAGACCATGCCTGAAACCTGAAAGAAATTCACCTACAGCCAAGTAAAACCTCTAGGAAGTTTTAGCTAAATCTTATTACTTTACTACTATATTTCTTTGAGACCCTGATGATAACAATCTGGGACATTTCTCCTTGAGTAGAATGAGTCAGGCTAGTTAAAACATGTTACTGTCAATCTTTGAGAAATACAGCAAATGTTTTGCAGAGTTGAAAGGTGGGAATGGTACTGACGGTTGTGTCTGCATCTCATTTATAACACTGCCTTTCAAAATATTCCACTACAGTAGCCAAAAAATGATTGAATTCTATGAAGAAAATGTCCACGGTCTTTTATGCTTTCATTATCCACAAATATACCAATGATTTATAAAACAAAAAATGCAGAATTAGCTTTTTTTTTTTTTAAAAAGAAGGTTATCTGAAAGGCTTACATGAGAGCATAATGAATAATAAATGTATCACTTTGCTTAACCTATAAAAACATTAAAAGCCATTAGTTCATATAAAGGAATTCTCTAGAAGTTTTTAGCCTCTTTTACAACCACAAGCACTGGGTGTGTGCTAACTCGAGTGAACCTCAGACAATGCAGTAAGCAACCCAGAGAAGAAAGAGGGGGAAAAGAGAGGAGACATACCAAGACCATAATATATTGAAATGGTAATAGTTCCTAACAAGCAATTTTTAAAAATTTAAATATATATGGTTTGCATCCTTCCTTCCTACCGCTCATTCCTCCTTTTAACCAAGTACCTCAACCCGTTTTAAGATCAAGGCAAAAAGAACTACCCTAACACTGGAGGAAAGAGAAGAGAAAGCAGCATATCCTCTTTAGAATACTGACAGCCAAATAAATGCCAAAGCACAGTTACTCTGCTTTTAATCAACTATAAATGAAAGAGTTGTTTAAGGCACTGCTCATGGTAGCCAAAAGTGCCTCAGCCAACTTAGGAAAGAAGCCAAAAAAGTTATTTTTAATTTAACAAAATTAAAAAGAAAAAAGTTCTATTAACACAAAACCTTTTTTCGAGTCTACCTTTCTGTTCTCACCATGCATAGTTCTCATTTCCACTCCAGAGCTCTGTGCTGAGTCTAACAGATGCTTAGGTAAAATTCCTACAGTTTATGATTGACTTTAATTTACCCCTGTGGGTGTTCAGGCGTATCTTGGCTGCTTATATTCTTGCCCACATGTTAATTTACATGCAAGATTGGTCAGGAGAAGGCACTGGTCTCCATCTTTGGCACAGACAGTAGTAACTACAATACCCTATGATTTTAGTTACAAAAGAGCAGTTCAAATCCAGAGTTCTTCTACCAAAAGCTTTCCCAAGTAATTAACATCCATGTTTCTTTCTCCTTCAACAAGTCCAGAATACACTTCCAAACAACCACCTCGAAGTCTACTCTAACTTTAATTCAAAATTAACAGAAATTAACTGTTTAAACAAGGTGGTTCCTCAAGTTCAAGATTCACTAAGGCTTTAATTCCCTCATGAAATACATAAATAAATACATGCACATACATATAAATACTAAACAAAGGAAATACTTCATAATTTTTGAGTAACCTTTTTATTAATGCTGATTGTAACTGAAATTACATCTGGTATCTTCAGGCTCCATGCTAAATCAGTTTCCTCACTTGTGAACTGAAAAGTTCAGATCAGATGAACCTGAATTCTAAAGTCATACTCAATTAACACATTTCTCTGACCCAAGGGCATTGTAGTAGCAAAATCTATAAGAGCAGACTTCTAAAGATGAGAGAGATGTTGACATCATGCTCCCACGTCCAGGAAGACTGAAGGAGCACCACAAAGAGATGCTTCTATCTCACAGTAGAACACAAGATGCGTTCTTCCAGATGCTCTTCTGATATGCTTTCATGTGGTTAAAAGAATGATAAAGAAATCTCATAACTGGCAAACATACGGGAAAGGATTTAGGGATCAGTGGGGGGTGATTTCACTATGAACCCTGTTTAGGGAAAAAAACAGAGGAGAACACACTCTTAAGGAATGGTGTATTTTGTCACCAGAACATAAACATAGGAAGCAATGAGTCAAAATTATGGTTATGAGGCATTCAAATATATATACAGGGCATTATACATATACTTTCAAGCCTAAATAGCTTATATTTAGACTTTCAGAGATTTAAATAAAAGGGAAACATAAGGTATATAAGAAACTTATATGTTAATTCCTAAATTGAATATTAGCCATTCCTAGAGGATTCCAAGTACTTAAAATTGGAAGAAGTGGATTTTAAGCCACAGGACACCTTCAACAAATTTAATGAGTATCTGGGTGGCCTGATAGTTTTTGTAGCTTTTTATTTAGAATAGTTTGGTTTGTATGTGGCCAGAAACATGAAAAACAACTTGGGAACTTTGTGCTTCAAACTACTGCAAAGGATTCTACCCTCAGAATACAAAAGACTGTATGTAACATTAACTATCACTATATGAATTCTAATGTGAGGTTCATCGTACAATCTAGAAAATCTGAGTTTTGAAAGTACATGATGTCAATATATTCATGGCCACGTGGTGTGGATCTTGAGGACAGCCTTCTCATGAAGCTCCAATGCACTAAGATTTCTTTCTAGATGAGAATACAGTTTCAACAACTACTGTCTTGTAAGGCATAAACGCCTGGTCAGCCCAGTCATGCCAAAAATAGTTCCCTGTACATAAGGGCAAATTCAAACATGGAAAACACCTGCTGAGACAAATTTCTACACGACTTTCTCAAGAACTCATTGTGACAAGATATAGAAGATAACACAGAAGGAAAAAATTAACACACTCAGAGACTATTCTACTTATCACCACACTGGAGGGCTGATTTGAAAAAGATGTTACCCTGGTCTTTCTGACATCTTGTTTCGCAAAACTACCCGTCATTTCTAAATAAAGCATTACAAGGAGACACACTAACCCTTGAGATTTCTCAAGAAGGGTATTTTGTCTTTCAAGAGTGACCTTGCCATTATAGTCTGCTTTATTTCAAAAGATTATGTTACAAAATACAAACATTAGGTAAACAAACAAACAGTCAACAATGAAACAACCACACAAAATTCTTTGGTAAATAGCAAGCACTACTCATTCAAAGGCATATCCATTTCAAATATTAATAAATTGGGTTGTAGGTATGATAGGAATAATTAACAATTCTTAAAAGGAAATTTTTAGTATGCTGCAACCAACTACATAACAAAACTATAAAGTGCGTGTTCTTTTTAGTTTCCCTCTCAGAAAAGAGAAGGTAAATGGAACATTAAGTATGTTCTGGACGCGCCTATAATAGAAAACTCTGTATAACAAAAGTTCGTAGAGACATCTGGGAGAGAAAAACGTACCTGCCTTTAAATGCAATTTACAAACTGCTTCTAACATAGATGGAACTGACTGGATTTCAAAAGTTAAATTTCTTAAGTTGAAAAATGAAGTTTAAGAAACATGCTAAGCTTTTATAGAGACAACCTTACTTGCTTAAAAAGATGTTTATAAATTGATAGGAAACAGTCACTAAGGTAAAATGCTTTAGGAGAAAGAAGCAAGGGTCAGAACAGTATGTGCAAGATTTTAAAAGGATGGGGTAGTTGGTCTGCTGGTCAATCCATCTGCCTTCCACCCATCCATTTACATTTACGTATGCAGAGAATCTCTTCAGGAGAGTAAACGAGAAAATGGCAGCTGGCTGCTTCAGGAGAAGGGGACCTGGGAGACAGAGCTGGCGATGGGAGTCCTTTTTATAGTACACTTTTTTGTACTATTTGAATTTTTAGCCATGTACACCACAAACTTCCCATTCAAAAAACTTAAATGGAAAAATGGTCAAGTTACTGGGTCTATTAACTGCAATGAGACTTGACTAGTGAAGCAGTTGGGAACTGTAACCTAGAATATACCTGCTGAATAAATGAATGAAACAGTACCCCGTTTTTTGGTCAGGTTGCATCTGTATGTTACCTTATCTCCTGAACTGAAAGTAGACTCATGACAGATAAAGATTCTAACCAAGAATTAAATGCATAATCAAGAGACATCACTGACCACAAATGTATCTTGGTTACTTGCAGCACAGTAGACAGGCAAATGGGCACAGAAAAGTTTCTAAGGTGAGTTTTCATAACTCAAAAGCAGACCAGAAAAATGTTAACTCAAGTGTGAATAGAAGACTGATAGCTCTCCGCACAGGGACTAATTCAGCTGAGAAGAGATTTAAGAAATAAAAATGTTTTTAATTCTAGTTATCTTCAACTGAAGCAGGTAAGAAAAACATCCATAGTCTCTAAGCTTTTAAGCTTTGGTATTGTAACAAACACATCAGGGTCTTGAACCTCAGGCATTACAAGGAAACAAAGGTGACCATCCGTGTCAAAGCAAAAGTAGTATGAAAAGCAGTTTCTAAAAAACTGGGGAAAAGTTCCTGATTTGCACTCTGGAAGAGCATGTTTTAGATGCTTTTAAAAAAGTTTTTTTTTTTTTTTTGCAGGGGTGCGGAGGTAGTTTCAGACGGGGAAGAGACATGGAGTTGTGGAGGGAAGAGAGAAGAAGGAATAAAGGAAGAAGGGAAATGAAAACTCTGTCCATAAGGCGGAAGAAACCTCTAAATGAGGCATTGTTAAAAAAAAAAAAAAAAATCAATTCTTTACAGAGTTTCTGAAACCTTAGCCGAAAGAATAGTAATGAAATGAACTTGACATTTATTTCTTCATGGTAAATGTAAAAAAAAATTAAGAAACGAGATACCTGCAGCCTAGATGCAGAAAGGCTTATTTAAAACCCATGTAAGAAATAAATCTGAAGGTGCAAGAATTTTTTCCTGGAACTAAAATCAGGCTGGACTATATAAGCTCTATGACAACCTATGTAGGTGGTCTTGAAAACTTTCCCAAAGGTCTCCCTTGGCTGGTCTGCCTGAAGTACAGCAGTGTGACTGGAAACACTAAATAATCAGACTCTCTATTTAAAGGAGACTGTCCTTTGAGTACAGCAGACATGAGGAAAACATGGTCTTGAAAACACTGCCCTTAATCACTGTTTAACTTAAGCCGGGCTGGGGCCAAACTACATTTGGAGACTTCTAAATTCTTAACAAATTTCATCAAATCTCACCAGCTGAAAGGGTTCTCTTATAAAAAGTTCAAGGCTCAACAGTTTTAATTTATCTGAGACATCTCGAGTTACTTCTTTGGTCTACAGAAGGCAAACAGTGCTTTCCATAGAAGAGAATTAAAAGCTCCCTAAAAGTTTTCACATGAGAAGATTGGCATGTCATTCAGCCAAATGTCTGGTACTTGGCTACCTGGGTTACTTAAATGCAAACTCCCACCTCCAAAGAGCATGAATCAGTAGTAGTAATGGAGCCCAGGGAATACGCACTTCGGAAAACATGCCAAGAGATTCCAATAGAGGCGGTACAAGGAACAGAACTGTAAAAACACTGCTCTCCATTCCTAAGAATGGTCCTAACTACATACTATACCACCAAGGAAGAAAAAATGGCAACAAGAAGCAAATTGTAAGACTTCTGGACACTGGAACTCCCCCCCCACAACAGATTTTGTTTTAATATAAAAAGTGCTCTCAGGGTGCTGTGAACAAGTGGGTTATGGTTCCTGAATTAAGGTACATCTCCTGTACAAGCAGGCATATCCCTCAAATCAGATGTTGACCTCTGAGAGCAATGGTCTCTGGACATGTTCAATATACCAAACAAGCTATGCTTAGTTCAAATTTTACCTTAATTACACAAGTGAAGATTCAAGAATGGATAGTACACATGTTAGAAGGGGAGGACAAACAACTACCAACGCTCGCAAAGCATTTGAGGAACCACTTCACATCCCCTTCATAAACAATTCAACAGTTCAGAGTAGCAGAGTGCAACAAGATGGAAGAGTTAATTTACACAAACACTCTGGATTGTTGGGGAACAGGTGGCAGAATCGGTCAAGCAACCTCTTGAGTTGAAAGAATCCGTGTGTCTTGGCCAACTTTGCTGTCGCACAGGTTCAGTAATTCCAGCTCAATGCAGAAAGGGAAGCTAGAAGGAGGAAAAGGGGAAGGAGCATCGCCTCCATGAAGTTCTGGTGACAACTAACTGCTGTGTCTTTAAATTAAGAGAGTAGAAGAGTCGAGGAAAACAGAAAAAAATGAGGGAATAAGGGAAGTGAGGCATCCAGCTTGTGGGAAACAAAAAGGCATTCAAATTTTCTTCCTGGTACATTATGCAGTACACATTAAAGTTTTCAAATATTTAATCTTTTACTTTTGTGGTATCACCGAGTGAATGGGAAGGGTGTGTAGACCTATTTGAGCCCAGACAACAGGGTAATGGGGACAGAAAGGTCTGTTCCAGTCGATTACTCAATTATTCTAGTCTACAACTTGTTCTAAGACTTGCAAGAATAAATCCACTTTCCAATTCTTTTTCCAACACAGAAGCAATTATTATCACCTATACTATTGAATGTAAGAACACGGGTCATAGCTTTAGTTTCAATTTCTTAAAAAAATGAACAGAAGCCTAAACAAAATGTTCCTATTGTTTAAGACTCCGCTACTTTTTTCTGAGATGGTACTGGACGCAAATTCCTGAAAAACGGGATTTTTGCTTGGAGAGAAAAGTAAACATTTCTTGTTAAAATACTTCAAAAAAACCCCAAAAAACCAGCAAATTCCATTTGAGTAAATAGAAATATAAACACTTGAAACACACAAGAGAAATAGAGGACTTCTTACCTTGCTCCCACCTCCAGGTTTAAGGTCATTCTGTTTAAAGAGGAAAATAAATAATATTTTAAGACACATCCAAACAAACTCATTACGTGCTTATTTCTAACTTTGGGACATGAGACTACCTTCTGGTAGCAATTCCCGAGGAGATGTCAGCGTCTATAGAAGGGTCCTGCCCACTACCCCCACCTCACCCCCGCACCCCTGACTCTGAGCACATCACAGTCCCTTGTTAGAATGGCATGGGCCACAGTTACCACTTTTAGCAAAGAATTTGCAAGAACAATCAAAGCACTATTTTAGACCATGATATTAACCTCATTACAAAGAAATGAATCAACTAAAAACCCACTTCCAAAATCAGTTCCTTTTCAGAAATACTCTATGTGCTGACCCACAGATAAGCAGCTCCAGCTTAGCACAGTAAGGCTGATGATTCTGGAGAAACTTCAGCCTGATGGCTGGGCTGAATGCATTTTAGTCCTTCACTGCTCATCATGACCTGTGGCTGCTGGATAGCTCCTCTCTACAGGCGCTCCTGGCTCCGCTGGCTCGTACCGGGTGCACATCCCCAACGTAGTACTGCTCGAGCATCTCTCTGGCGTCAGAGGAGTGGCCTACATCCTCAAAGCTTTCAGTTGCATCTCCTCCAGCTTGTTCCATCAGAACCTCTTCTCCACCAGGATGCTGCAGGAAAAAGGTTTTTATCAAAGTAAGGGCTTTCTGAAAAGCTAACTGAGAATAGCTCCTCCCCCGCTGCTCTCCTCTTTTCCCTCTTCTCCTTTAAATGGCAGCAATGGGATGAAACAGCATGTATACCCTGTGACAGGAGCAAAGGGGAGAACACTACATCATTCCTGTGTCTTCGGGCCAAAAATGCATACTGTGGGTTTAATTATGAGGAAACCTGGGAAAATCGTAAACTGAGAGACATTCTACAAAATGATCTGCCTGTGATCTCCAAATATATCAAAGTCAAGAAAGCCAAGGAAAGACGATTACTCTATTCCTGGCCTGGGATGACTCCACATGCTGCGGGGCAACTAAGCGCATGCGCCACAAGTGCTGAGCCCGCGATTACTGAGGAGCATGGGCTCCAGGCCCACAGGTTCAGGAGGTGAGTTACTGCCTAATGGTGATGAAGTTTGTTTGGGGTAATGAAAAAGCTTTAGAAACGGATAGCAGTGTTAGTTGTACAAACTGTGAGTGCAATTAATGTCACCTAATGGTACAGTTAAAAATGGTTACAATGGCAAATTTTATGTGTACTTTACCACACACACATAAAAAGCTTGGTTTACATACCTATAATTAACGTAACCCAAAAATTTACTTCTGTCTGAATCATAGCAAAATAAAACAAGTAAGACCAAAAGAGTCTGGAGGTTAGTGAACTAGACTGGTTAAAGAGTGCTATTCAAATCTATCACACAATCATAAATTTCTCCCTGTTTTTATTAAGCAGACCTAACATAAGTCTGCTTATAACATAAGTGGGTACACATTTCCCACTTTCTTCTGCTTTGCTTTTAAATCTCATATGAATCTGCAAAAAAGATTCTTCTGAATTTGACAGCCTTTGTGTTTTAAGACTAATGGATCTTGTCTTAGCTTTTATTGTATGAGCAATTAAATAACATTACAAATATTTCAAATAAACTATATGGCAGTCAAGATCATAAACTTTCAATTGATGAAACAATGCCTGTGATGGATTAATCTCTATTTCAGTCCAGCAATAATCAAGGGAAATACTTTATACAGATACAAAGGAAACTTTGTGATGTTCTGTGAAGGGTTTTAGTAAATTCACAAAGTATGAGGCAGGGAGCAGGGGAAGTCTTTCCTTTTCATTAAGTTCACGTACTAAGTATTTATTGAAGGGAGGACAGAAAATTCATATTTTAATACAGAAAAGAAAGAAGACAAATTGCTAACACAAAATAATAATATTTCTAGATTGCTAATTCTATGGAACGGATAAGGAACAGATGGACAGAAAAGAGATTGTGAAGAATGACAGTTACAGAATAAAAATCTTGTTGGGAAAAAAAATTACACAAATTCTCTGTGAATGGAAATTCCATGGTGATGTAATAAAAATGTAACAATAGGATATGCTAAAGACCACCTGACTTGGAAAATGAAATCTAGAAACATTAAGATTACGGAAGCTGCAAAATTAGGCCAGGCTAGCCAAACAGGATTAGCAGAATACTAATCATCAAAATAAGATATGGAGGTTAAAGTTTTGGAGAGGATTAAAAACTACTTCCTAAAAAATAGTCTGACAACTCAAAGAAAGATAAGAGACCTGGGTGGTGAACAGCAGGAAATGGTGCAGGTCCATAGGTATTTGCGTTTGGATTAGAAAGAACCTAGTAAGGCAGGGGTGTCACCTAGGAGAGGTTAACTGCCAGAAAGAGTGTAACTTTGGCAGTTCCAACTGCTCAGGGTCTAAATATCAGGTCTGCAGATCCAAACATAACTCATCCCCACCAGATGATATACCCTTATTCCCCACCATGTTAGGTCCTACTGCTACAGATTCTCACAATTCCTTAGGCATCTTCATGGTGTTTATCACAACTACAATTGTTTATTTAATGTCTTCTTCCTCAACTAGACTATAAGCTCCCTAAGAACAGGAACCATGGCTGTCTTACTTCTGGCTATATTCCTGAATATAGCACAGAACGTGGAACACAGTGAGATCTAGGGGGCGCTCACAGTGCCCTCCTCCACTCCCACCTGCCCTCTCTCCCTCTCTGGCATGTAAGCCGCACAAATACACACACCAAAGTCAAAGTGTCGATCGGGGCAGCTCACCTGGACAGTGCTGGAGGTTAAATTTTGCCTCATGCTATTTCTAGCTTTCCCTAGGACTAGCCACATGGACCTGTTTGAGGAAAGAAAGCATACTTTCTATAGATTTGTTAATTCCACAAGCTAGATAATGACGGAATTGCACTTTCATTTGACCAGCCTTGGAGAAAGACAGTAGGAATTGTGCTTCATCAAACTCTGAAGCTTTCAGGGGGTACCCTAGGGTGGCACCAAGCAGAGCCCACATTCTGTCTTTCCTAAGGCAAGACTACTCTACCATGCACAACACTGCTTGTGCACAGATCTCATCTTCCCAGCAAGTCCAAAACATCGAATTCACCTTTACATCTTCAGGGCATGTGCTAGTTACTATGCACTCAAAAGATGCTATAGGAAACAACATAATTTTTAATTATTAATAAAAACAGCCACTAAACACTTACTGAGCTCTTTATATCAGGTACCATGATAAGTCTTTGTATGAATTACCTAAATTAACTGTCTCAACAACTCTGTGGAGTAGGTACTATAATCTCCCTTGAACAGATGGGAAAAGGTCTTTACAGAGCACATTTTCCTAAGGTTACAGTAAAGTAGGAAACTAAACAAGACTCTTTAACCCTGCAGCCCACATCCAGTCATTAGAATGTTTTATATACCAAATGTGTGTGTATATATACATATGTGTACATGTATATATATATACATCTCACCAAAATTCTCTTCAAAAGACACCTAAGAAAACGAAAAGGCAAAATACAGACTGTGAGAAAATATTCACTATACATATTTCTGAAAGGACTTGCATCCAGAATATATAAAGACTGCCTTCAAGTCAGTAATAAGAAAACAATAAAATTAAAAATGAGCAAGACTGAACATACACTTTACAAGACACACACAAGGCCAATCAGCCCTTGAAGATGCTCAAAATCATTAGTCATCAGGGAAAAGCAAGTTAAAACCATTACTATATACCGGCACACATCTATCTATCAGAATAGTTAAAAGTAAAAGCACTCACAATACATCATGTGTCAGTGAGGATGTAGAGAAACTGGAAGACTGACACATTGCTGGTGTGACTATAAAATGATGGGGCCACTATGGGGAAAAAGTCTGCCAATTGCTTCAAATATAAAACAAAAACAAAAGAAAACAAAAAAATATGACCTATGGGAATTCCCTGGCATCCAATGGTTAGGACTCAGAGCTTTTACTGCCAAGGAATCCCTGGTTGGGGAAATAAGATCCCACAAGCCACAAGGAAAAAAAAAAAGCAATCTCACTTGCAGGTATTTCCCCAAGAGGAATGAAAATGTGTCTACACGCAGATTTGTATATGAAAAGTTCACAACAGCTTTATTCATAATAGCCAAAAAAAAAAAGAGGAAACAAGCCAGTGTCAATCAACAGGTGAACAGCTAAGTTTTAGTATAGTTACAGTGAATAAGCACTAAACAGGAACACGCTGCTGACACACAGAAAAAATATAGATGAATCTCACAGATACGTTAAGTAATAGATGTCAGACACAGAACAAAGCATATTGTTTTGCAATGTGAGAAATTAATTACTGGTTGCCCAAGAACACAGATGGTAGAAATGTTCGAAACAGTGATGGTGATGGGGACTATACAGGTGAGACCTTTGTCAAAGCTCATGAAACTCCACATATAAAATCTCTACATTCTGTTGTATGGACATTAGATCTCAAGAGAGTTGACTTAGATGGGGAAAAATCTACACAGCAAAATATTACTAACAACCCAAATGCTTATAAATAGAAGAATGCTTGAATAAATCAGAATCAGTTCAACAATTTCTATGAATAATAAGGAAGTGTTCCAGATGTGGATATGGAAAGACTCCTGAGATATACAGTTATGTGAAAAAGGCAAGGCATGTTATCAGTTACCTTATGGGTGGGGGGTCGGGGTGGGGAAGAATAAGAGGAACTACATTCACTTTTGCTTGCAGGCACAAAATAAAACTGGAAAGATTCACAAACAGTAGTAGTTAATTTTAGGAGATGGTGATAGTGGGCAGATGGGAAGAAAGCTTTGCACAGTATACCTATATGACCTACTCAAAAAATTAAGAACTTACCTGGGTTCCAGAAAAAAGGTGCTAGTTCTAACTTCCCTCTATCACATTCCCACCCTTCCAAATTACGTCTAAGATGTGGAAGAAAGTGGTTGTAAAACAGACCTAATTCCATATTCTATAGCCACGAAAAAAAAAACAAAAAACAGAGGCAAATCCTAATGTCATGGGCACAGGCTATCTGGTCAGACTGCTTGTACCACTGAGCATTATGACTTTGTGAAAGTTATTTCTCTGCTCCTCAGTTTTCTCATCTCTAAAATGGGCTATTAAGTGGATTAAAAAAAGCAAGCTGTTAGGATAATAAGCACCTAACACATACTATTACTATTACACTGAATCAATTAGTAGACACTATAACTTGATTAAAGAATACTATGATTCTATTTCTGTTTATCAGTCAGTTCAGTCGCTCAGTCATGTCTGACTCTGCAACCCCGTGGACTGCAGCACTCCATGGAAGATGGAGGATTCAAATTCTTGGGATTTAAAGAGTTCCTTTCTTCCCTTCTGTATTGTTTTTCCCTTCAATTTATTCTCAAAACCTCAGCAAAAATAATATATTTGAAATAAATTCCTTCAATGTCACCCCCATCTTAAAACACAGCAGTGGTTTTCCATTTACTTATGGTATGGTTCACAAATCCATACCACCTACCCAGCCTTGCCTGTCCTGGCTCCTGCCAAGTTCTCTGGCCATTCTTGACCTTTACTGGATACACTAAAGCCACAGCTGTTTTCAGTCCCACCAACATGCCAAACTCTTGCTTGACTCCGCAAATGCCGTAAGAATGCTCTTTTCTTTCATCTTCCCAAAGCTAGTTCCCTCTCATCAATGAAAAGTCATCTTCACAGAAGCTTTCCCAGATCACTCTTATTAAAGTAGATTTCCCCACCATGGCCGTTTTACTTTCTCAACTCCTTGCCTGGCTGTTTTTGCTTTGTCTCCCTTAGAAGGGTAGCTTCAAGAGGGCAGATCTATGTCTACTTTTATACTACCAGGACCTAGTACCACAACACTTGAGAAGAGTCAGCATTCAACAAATGTTTGCTGAATGAATAAAATGCTATCCCATCTGTGAAGCAGATCCTAAAGCAGTATACCCACTCATCCCAACAGTCACTAAAAAAGTACATAGAAAGCTTTAAAACAGCATAACAGGTTATTTTAGGTTACTGTTGTCAGAAATGGTTAATTATACATAAGACAATGGTTTCCCAACTTTTCCCACTTGTGATACAGTAGTAAGAATATAAACTGAAACAAAGTTCACAAAATCACATTTACCCTTGCTAAGATAGATGCACTTTGATATTTTGTAGTCAATGGCATAAGATATTATAACCATTTCTTTTTTTTTTTTTAATATTTATTCATTTATTTGGCTGCACCAGGTCTTAGTTGAAGCATGCGGGATCTAGTTTCCTGGCCAGGGATCGAACCTGGGCCCCCTGCATTGGGAGCTCAGAGTCTTAACCACTGGGCCAGCAGGGAAGTCCATATTGTAACCATTTCTATGTCATTTTTTTCAAAACCACTAAGTAACAGAAATATGATGTGTATGATTGCAATGTTTTGGTTTTTCATTTGTGATTTCAATAAATTAAATCATTACCACTGACTGAAACCTATGAAATTAATCTACTAGATGATAATTCAATTATATTATCAATCCAAAATTATCACATTCAAAGCCCAGAGTAACACTCTAACCATATTCATTAATCAAAAAAGAAAGCAATCTATAAATGCTAGATATTCAAATGAGGAACCTCTTTCTAAGGAGGAGCCCCAAAGTGAATTCAGATTGGAAAGAAAAGGATGAAAATTGATGTTTCTTCCTGATCTGATCTAACAACAACCCAATTCCTCCAGACCTACAAGGCAAAAACCTCAGTCACCCTTGACTCTCAAGTTCAAGGCATCATCAAAAAAAAAAAAAAGGCATCATTAAATTATTGGCTCTACCGTCACAGCACATCCAAAATCTGACACTTCTCACCACCCCCACTACCACCACCACTAAGCCACTGTCTCTAGCCCGGGTTACCGTCAAAGCCTCCTAACTGGATTCGAGTGCTCCTTCAGGCTCTTCTCAACAGGCAGTCAGTAATGCTTGAATAGCAAACCAGTAAGTCACATATTACTTACTGGTCCTCTGCTCCACTATGCTTACCCATCTCAGAACAAAAGTCAAAATCCTTTCTAAAACCAGCAAAACTGTACATGACCTGCTCCTCACCTTGATCATACTGACCTCATCTACTACTCTCCCGCCACCATAACCTCCCTCACTGTTCCTCAAAAACACTGGACATAGCTGCACCTCAAGGCCTTTGAACTTGCTTTGAACAAGCTCTTCCTGCTGATGTCCACAAGGCCAGCTCTCTTAACTTCTCTCTGGCCTTTAGTCATCTTAATAAAGCCATTTCTGGCCACCATATCTAAAATTTCAACCCTTCATCTTCATGCTGTCACTCCATACATGTCCATAGTCCTCTTCTCTGCTTCACTTTTCTCCTTAGCACATGACTTGGAATGAAAAAGAACAGAGGGACAGACTCTGGAACGGGGTAAGTGAGAATGGCGAACTGCAGGTAAAGATCTGCAAGTCAAGCTTGAAAGGCCATGCTGGCAACCTATGTCGTCTCTGGCTCCATCAGCATGTGGTGAACCAAGCGAGTAACTGTTCAAGATTAAACTAATGTCCACTACGTGCACTGAGTGTTCCTTCCAAGTTCACCATCTATTCTGAATTAATTAACAAGAAACGGGGGGGGGGGGGACGAAACCACAAAAGAACCCATCCTGGCTTACCCATTTTGAACTATGCTTTACTCTGCTACAAGCCACACTGGAAACTTATGAGGCATACACCAAAGTACAGCTAAGACTAGAATTCCAAAGTATTGCTATGTAGGCAAGAGAAACCAAGGAATTTATCTAACACACCCTGCCACTAATCAGTTGCCTGACCAAAATCTTTCTGAACCTGTTTCTTATACCCCTGCTAAAATAAGGATCAATACTATCCAACTCACTCTCAGTTAGTTACTTCGAGGCTGAAGTAACGGGAAAGCACTTTTAAAAGCGTTTAACTGCCATAAACCCCACAAATACAAGAAGTTACTAAATGCTAAGACATTAACTTCTTGGCCACTAGAAAGAGTTATTAAAATCAATGTTATTTGGGGGGGAACTTTAAGTTTTAAAATTTTTTTTAGAGATTTATGAATCAGGATGTAGAGCTTTGTGCCCTAGGCCCCAAATTAATAGAAAAAAAATTTTTTTTACTAGTATATTTGTTTCATAAAGAGAACTAAGAGAAATAAAACTTTTTCTCAGTGTTAGTAGGTTTATATTATACAAATGTGCCCAAGAAATTAACCATTAGATTATTAATCTACTGCTCAAAATAAAAATATACACATCAAAAATAAACCACCAAACACACTTACATTAAAAAAAAAAAAAAATCCCAAACCCTCAGGGATTGGGAGTGAGAGGAATGACTACAAAAAAGCACGAGGGAAATTTTTACTGTAATAAAAATGTTCTAACTGGAGTTGTGATTACATGGGTGAATACATTTGTCAAAACTCATCAAACGGTACATTTTAAACATGCATGATTTGTTGTATGTAAATTACACCTCAGTAGAGTTAAACACATTAAAAGTATATTTCTTTAAAAAAAATAAATCACTTGCACCAGTCTCAAGGAGAACTTGTAAAACGTTAATACACATGCTTTATTAACAAAAGAGGTAACAGAGTCTGAGTCAGAAGCTAAAAAAAAAAAAACAAAATCAACTCATAACCTCCAGGCTCAAGGTCTGCTCAAAATAGGAAAAAGAAAGGCAGCATGATGGTAGGATGGGAGAAGGCATCTCAGCTTCTTCTCAAGAAAATTAAAACCAAACACTGGTATTACTTCAGAAGTGAAGTGAAGTGAAGTCGCTCAGTTGTGTCCGACTCTTTGCGACCCCATGGACTGTAGCCTACCAGGATCCTCAGTCCATGGGATTTTCCAGGCAAGAATATTGCTTCAGAAGGCACAGTTAAAAAAATGAATAGAGATCTGGCGCTTTCAGACGTAGGTTCGAATGACTCTAAGCAGTTAGGTGAGAAACTCTGAGGCTCGGGTTTTCTTTCTGTAAAATGGTGATACCGGTGACTCGAAAGTTTAGCCAAGCAAACAGTAAATGCTCAACATGTGACAGAAGCATATTATCAAAGGTATCAGAACTTAGTGCCGGAAGAAATGCACGCAGCCCTAAGGTTCCCCCCCAACCCTACCAAACTCCGTCTCGAGGGTCGCGGTCCCTTTCGGCACGCCTCTCCGTCCTCAGCCAGGCCTCACTTCCCTCCCACACACAGCCTACCAGCGTTTCTGGGCCCGTACCCCCTCAGCGCAGTCCACCTCCTGGGCCCCACCTCGTTAAGAAAGCGGCTGACATCGTAGACTCGCCCGTGGATCACCAGCCATATGTCCTTCGGGGAGTTGCGCTTCGCCACCTCCTCCAGTCGGTAATAGGTGACGGAAGTCTCGACTCCTTGCTCTTTTCCATCGCTGCCGCTTGCTACCACAGTCGCCATTGGGCCTGAGATAACCTCTTTCCCACCGCTATTCCGGTTTCCACTACCAACTTCCTGGAAGTCGACCTCCCGCTCCGGCCTCACCGGCTTCCGTAACCGGGGCAAACCTGTCAACAGCCAATCACGCTTACGAGTAGTTTCTGGTTCGTTTTCTTTTCACCAATGAAACGAGGAATTCTATTTCAAATCCCACACACTCCTCGCCAGACCCTAGGGGCGTAGGCCTGGTTCGAGGTCCAACTAACCAATCAGGCTCACCCAGCCCCTCCAATCTCACCAATCAGATACCGTGATTTTGGAAAGGCGCCTAAGAGACACGTCGGTCTGAGAAAGAGGTTTCCTCTTCAGTCGGCTTCTGTGCTGTGCTTAGTCTCTCAGTCGTGTCCGACTCTTTGCGACCCCATGGGCCATAGCCCGCCGGGCTCATCTGTCCATGGGGATTCTCCAGGCGAGAACAGTGGAGTGGGTTGCCATGCCGCCTCCTCCAGGGGATCTTACTAACCCGGGGATGGAACCCAGGTCTCTCGCATTGCGGGCAGATTCTTTACCGTCTGAGCCACCAAGGAAGCAGCTTCCAGACCCGCAGAATTCTGGAAGACGGGGCAAAGTCACCTTTCCCCCGTTTTCCTTCCCCTTGTAGAGGATCCGTCTTGAGTCGAGAGCAACTTGTTCCGCCCCCACCACCACCCCGACTCCTGCGCAGCTTCTGTTCCAGCCCCATATGTACATTTTTATTTTGCACTCTCCGGGCTGTGACCTGGCGAATCCAGTCTCTTTAAGGCTCAATTTCCTCTTCACCAGTAAAACGGGCATGATAATCTATACTCTATAGAGAAATTTGCCCGATTGAGAGAGAGAATGTACCTGCAGAGCACTCGGTGCCTAGTAATCAGTGTATAAATGACAGGCGGTGAACCGGCACCTTGAGACAGTGTTTGAGGGTACGATATGGAGAATCCCAAATTTGTGCCACTACTGAGAATCTGATTTTCTTGTATGTCAGTTATCTCTAAATAAGGTTTAGGGCGGGGTGGGGGAAGGGATCTGTTTTTAAGTGAATTCTTAAGAGACCAGGACAACTACACTGTTTCTATGTGTTCTAAAATAGGATTTCGCCTTAACTGTGGCTGGTTAGATGTCCCAGCATTTTGGAATTATAAGTTTGGCTAATATGCAATATTGTGAGCTACGCATTCTTAACTGCCATTACAACTGACAAACTGGTCATGGTGAGATGTTATTTTCATCATGTCTCCCATATTCTCCATGCATGCTAAGTCACTTCAGTCATGTCATTACTCTCCATAATCCATCCCCAACCATTCCCTTTTACAAGCCTTGTGGACCAGTCACTGACTCCTAAACCTACTGGTATTACAAGCCCACATCTGTGGTCATATCAGGTCCACCCACTTATGATACCCTCTTCTTTCTGATGTCTAACTCACCTTTCAAGCGCCTCGAATTCCTTCTTTTTCACAAACTCTGCTACCATTCTGAGCTCCAGTGATCCCATCTCCATGTGGTACTTCAGCACATTATTATTTCAGAAATTTCTGAAAGGAACTAAAATGTTTACATATATATAAATTAAAGTGCTAGCAATAGAGATTTGTAGCAAATGCAAAAGGACACAGCTCTGTAAACATACTTATTAAATGATAATTCATACTTAACCCTGGTATGCATGCGTCAACTAGAAGGCTATGTTAAAGATGCAAATTCCCAGGAATTCCCTGGCAGTCCAGTGGTTAGGACTCTGAGCTCTCACTGCAGTGAGATTGATCCCTGGTTGGGGGGGCTAACATCCTACAAGTCACGCAGCTCAACAACAACAAAAAAGCAGATTCCCTCCAGTCCAGACATAGAGACTTTCAGTTCAGTCGCTCAGTCGTGTCTGACTCTGCAACCCCATGGACTGCAGCACGCCAGGCCTCCCTGTCCATCACCAAATCCCGGAGTTTACTCAAACTCATGTCCCTTGAGTTGGTGATGCCATCCAACCATCCTCTGTCGTCCCCTTCTTCTCCCACCTTCAATCCTGAAGGTGAGACTTTTCCTTACCTTAAATCTTGGCTTCCCTTGTTACTTACTTTGGCCAATAGACTGTGACAGAAATGGTACTATGCAAGGTACAACATCTAGACTTCAAGAGACCTTGAAATTTCTATCTTCACCACCTTAGAACACTTCATGATGCTGTGAAGAAGTCTGGGATTAAAGATGTTACCTATACATTGGCACTTGCCACCTACCTCTGCTGCTGCTGCTGCTAAGTCCCTTCAGTCATATCCAACTCTGTGTGACCCCATAGACGGCAGCCCACCAGGCTCCACCATCCCTGGGATTCTGCAGGCAAGAACACTGGAGTGGGTTGCCATTTCCTTCTTCAATGCATGAAAGTGAAAAGTGAAAGTGAAGTCGCTCAGTCGTTTCCGACTCCTAGCGACCCCATGCACTGCAGCCTATCAGGTTCCTCTGTCCCTGGGATTTTCCAGGCAAGTGTACCGGAGTGGGTTGCCATTGCCTTCTCTGGCCACCTACCTCTACAAGGATCAAATTATAAGCCACTGCAGCTGCAGACCTTCAACACCCCATGAAAGGAATTAAGGTGGAGATCAGGAATGAGGCACTCTGTGCTCTGGGAAAAAATGGCAGAACAAGTCTTCAGATAATTTGGGATTTTCAGATGATTTTATGAGCCCAATTTTTGCATCTCCTTGAATCTAGAAATGCACTAAAATCCTTCATGGTGACATATGCTCCTCGTGAATAGCAGTAATCTACAAAAACTATGTGTTTCATTGCATGTACTCTCCCTTCACCAAAATCACATATATATATTGCCATTCCCCCCTACCTCTTTGTTGCAGTTTCTCAGAGCTATATGAAATTCTATCTCTTGGGCTACAGAAATGCTGTCTCTTTGGGCCTATTTTCCCCCAAATGAGGCAAAACACAGCTCACACACTGTGCTTTGTTTTTGCCCCTCCCCCCAGTTGACAAAGATCAGCTACTAAAGGTGTCTCAGTTGAGACTGCCCCTTAATCAACTTAATGCAAACCATGATTGTGTTCAGGCTGTATCATCAGGTCAGCCCCATCAACCCCAGAATTATAAGATAATAAAACATTGTTTTAAAACACAAAAAAATTTTAAAAAGCAGATTCCCAGCCCCATTTCCAGTGATTCAGGTCCAGCAAGTCTGGATATAGAATTAGAAATTAACATTCTTAGCAAGTATTTTGAATGACGCTGATGCACATGATCTATGGGTAACTTTGGGAAACACTGAACTTTTTTACACAATTTTTAAAGGCTTCACTCATTTACAGTTATTACAAAATATTGACTATATTCTCTGTGGTGTACGATACGTCTTTGTAACCTACCTTACACTCAATTATTTGTCCTGCCACTCCCCCCAATACTGCCCCTCTCCCACCCACCCGCACCCACTGTTAATCACTAATCTGTTCTCTATTATCTGTGAGTCTGTTGTTGTTGTTTTAAGCCATTCTATTTTGTTTTTGTTCTGGCCACACCTTGAGGTTTGCTGGATCTTTGATCTCCAACCAGGGATTGAACCCTGGCCCTTGGCAGTGAAAGCACAGGGTCTTAATCACTGGACCACCAGGGAATTCCCTGTGAGTCTGTTTTGAAGCATATTTAATATGTGTTTATCTTTCATACAGTGAATTAGCAAAATCACACAGCATTTCCTTTACTACCTCCACCTCTAGGAAATTGAGTCCAATAGTGTTTTTGAAGACCCTAAGCTAGCATGGAAGAAACTCTCCACAAAGGGAGGGGTTGGACAAATATATTTGGAGTACCACAAAAGCTAAATTGGGCTTCCTGAGTTTGGGAAGAAGAAAGCAGTTTGGGATTCCTCCAGTAGCAAGAACTCTATAAGCTTTGCCAAAGGGACCCAGGTTAGTGACAGGATTTTGAAGTGGAAGGGTTACATGATGCGTGCAGAAAGACTGGACCCTTGTTGCCAACGCTCCCAGCTAGCAGACATATTTGAGCATCAATGCAGAGGTTGTCAGTTCTGCCTGATCTTCAGGAAATGACCAGTGTGGACTGAAGACTAGAGGGCCCTTCCTGAATGTTCTGCACTATGTAAAACCCCTGAGACAGAGGAGAGAAATGCTCATAAATGATTGAGATTCAATTTGCCACCATCATGGCAATTGGAATTAGAATCAGATTAAAGTGGGTTTTTTTAATTAATATTTAAATTTCTTTTTTAGAATTTCAAATGGTTTTTCCAGTAGTCATGTATGGATGTCAGAATTGGACCATAAAGAAAGCTGAGCGCTGAAGAATTGATGCTTTTGAACTGTGGAGTTGGAGAAGACTCTTGAGAGTCTCTTGGACTTCAAGGAGATCAAACCCAGTCAATCCTAAAGGAAATCAGTCCTGAATATTCATTGGAAGGACTGATGCTGAAGCTGAAACTCCAATACTTTGGGCACCTGATACGAAGAACTGACTTATTGGAAAAGACCCTGATCCTGGGAAAGATTGAAGGCAAAAGGAGAAGGGGACGACAGAGGATGAGATGGTTGGATGGCATCACCGACTCAATGGACATGAGTCTGAGCAAGCTCCAGGCGTTGGTGATGGACAGGGAAGCCTGGCATGCTGCAGTCCATGGGGTTGCAAAGAGTCAGACATGACTGAGAGACTGAACTGAAGTTGAAAGAATAATACAATGAATTCCCACTTTAACTTAGATTCATCAGTGGTTATTATTTTTCCATATTTTATTTCATTTATATTTATTTTTATTATTGTTGTTAATATTGTTAAACCAAACCATCTCAGAGTAAGTTACAGACCTCATGACACTTTCAGTTCAGTCAGTTCAGTCGCTCAGTTGTGTCCGACTCTTTGCGACCCCATGAATCGCAGCACGCCAGGCCTCCCTGTCCATCACCAACTCCTGGAGTTTACTCAAACTCATGTCCATTGAGTCAGCGATGCCATCCAGC